ACAATTAGAAGTTCAGTTATGCCGTTCTATAGGTGAGTGTTCAAGAGTCACGACTGAACTTGTCCTCAATCAAAATTGTTACATTTTTCTGATTTTGAAATATGTTGTAGAAATAAGAATTTTAAGGATATTGACATAAGTTCTTAGAAAACATATTGATCAGTTCCGAAAGTGTTTGGATATTGCTGAGAAAGGTATCCGCAAAAACTAATTTTTTGTGGGCCTTCTATTATAGACATATTTCAGCGAAACTACACCTGTGTTACTTGAGCTGTTTAGTGCGTACTGGTCTGAATTTGATATGATAATAGGGGTATGGGTTTGGGTGTATGGGTGTGGGTGTGAGTTTGGGTGTGTGGTTATGGAGGAGTGAAGATAGGCACCCACACCCACATCCACCCATCCACCCACACCGACACCTACCTACCCGCACCCACATCCCACACTCACACCCACATCCACACCCATATCCGCACCTACACCCACACCCACACCCATACCCACACCCGCACCCCACATCCACACACACACCCACACTCACACACAGAAACAATTAACACAGAAAAAGAGCCAAAATTATTGAAAAAGATTAAAGAAAACGTGGGTAAGTCGCGGTATATAGATTCGGATGTTTTATTTTTTCTTCTTCAAAAGAATCTAGTTTTGCTTACGTACACAAAATTACAAGTAGTATGATATTTACTCAGAGCTTTCTTTTAGATTTTGTGTCTCTTTTTATTCTTACATTTGTCAGTATTTACAATGATAAGACAAATGAAAAAGAAAAGGTGGTTATAACATGTAAAATTAGAGTAAAAATCGAAAGAAAGAATAAGGTTAATGGCTATAGAAGTAAGGAGTGAAAGATAAGCACGTAACCACTAGACTCCAGATGAAAAAGTTTTAATTTTTTCAAACTTAGAAAAGAGAACATACAAAATGTAAAAAGTATCATTTTATACTCATTTTGCATAATAAGCTTGATATATTTAGTGAAATGTCGTTTCTAAAGTATCACGGTCAGAAGAAAACGACAGAAAAATAGAAAACAAAATTCAACTGAAACCTGCTTGTGTTGTCTAAAAAATAATGGAGCTTTCACATTTCACACTGATAAGTATATGGTCCTTCCTAGCGGGTACTCTCTGGACGACTACAAGACGAATCTGCTTCACTTATGCCACTGTTTATAAGGGTGTGAGTGTGGGTGTGAGTGTGGGTGTGAGTGTGAGGTGTGGGTGTGGGGAGTGGCTGTGGGGGTGAGTGCGGGTGGGTGTGGTTGTGAAATCGATACCAATATCTACACTCAAATCCTAACCAGTATCCACACCCACATCCACTCCCAACCTATACCCCACACACCCATACCCACCCTCTTCTGCAAAGTAAGATAACAATACTCTAGAAAGTGAGTGAGAGTGGGAGATAACCAAAGATTTCAAGATTGTTGTTCAAAACTTTCTTCTCTTACGTTAACCTATATTTAAAAGGTGTAGTGGAACTAGAACACACCATACCTTGAACTTCCTCTTACAACAAATTATGCATTGTAATAATGAATTAATATCATTGAAATCTTTGTTCAACTCTTTGCTTTTGAGCTTCATTTACCTGTAGCACTATATGAAACTTCGATAAGTATCGATGGATGAAAAAGTTTTCGATGAGCTGAACACTAGTTCTCCATAGGACAATTCTCGAATGCTCGAAATCAAAGCCGTATGAGCAAAAAAAACCTACATTTATTTCACATTTTCTGGCTCTTGTTGTATCCATCATATGCTTTCGATTGTATGCTTGGGTGTAGAACAAAAAACAAACTTGCACAATCATGATGAAATTTGATAATATATACACAATAAACACATTGAGATAACGAAATAGAAATTGCAACAGATATTCATTTTAACAAAAGATTCTGTCTGAAAGCAAACCACGATAATGTGTGACAAAATCCCTCGATCATTTTTGGTCATGCCTGTTGAATTTGTGACTCGAATTTTCAATCATTTTGATGATTTTACAATGGTATGTTCAGTTCGTGATGTCTGTGCAAGGTTGAATGCAGTCACTGATGCATATCATAGATACCAGATAAAATTCATTTTTTATCATAGAGTCAAATTTGCACTATTTTTAAGACAACACTTATTTCAACAAAGGATAGTTTTATTTGTTTTGTATTTTGATTTTAGGCTTTAGTAAAAGTTCGATAATAATATTTCGATTTTGATGAACACTACCTAGAAGAAAGAGATCAATTAAGTTATTCCAGCCGCTTTTAAGGATTTTATGAAGCTTCCAATTTTTCTACAACGTTTTTCCAAATAGAAAATACATCCACACCGAGAATATTTTTACACATGACTTAAATTGAAACTACGATTAAATTATCGCGTTAGAAAACGTATATTTCATTTATTTACACAGCTCCCGTTATGCAGAAAAATTCTTTCAATAAACAGATGATGGATATTGTTTACTCTAAAAACTGATAAAATGACATCATTTATTATAATGAAAACTATTGAGGCAATTTGTATAGAAATATTTTCCATCGACATTTATATCACTTAGGGGTATCCAAAAGTAGTGACCAGTGCTGCCACCTTTTGAAGACCGAAAAGTAGAAAGTATGTTTATGATATGAAACTAACAGGTATCGTAATAAAAGAGGGTCTCAATATTTTGTTACTATCTTAAGCGTTATCTTATTACTCACGCTTTATTTTTTTTTATCGAAAGATTCATCGTCTGATTCTGCAGGAATTTGTATATTTCATTATAAAAAATACCTATCTTTCTTTTGACGTCATCATGATTTAAAACAAGCATTACATACAACTTTAAAAATCTCTATTTTTTTCAATTTTTTCGAAAAACCTCCAGTCCTTAGATTAGTCTTATTATCATTGATCGTACCATATTCTTTATTCAGAAATAAAATAAATTGCCTTCGATACATTGTTTGAAATGAACCAATTTATCTCTTGAGTGGCGAACAAATTATACCGAAAGTAACAGGATTAATTGAGAAATTGGACTTTTCGAAAAAAATTGAAGAAAATGAAGACTTTGAAAGTTGTATGTAATGCTTGTTTTAAATCATGATGATGTTGAAAGAGAGATAAGTGTTTTTTACAGCAAAATATACCAATTTCTGCAGAATCAGACGGTGAATCGTTCGATAAAAAAATAAAGCGTGAGTGATAAGATAGCGCTTAAGATGTTAACAAAATATTGAGATCTTCTTTTATTACGAGCTTCCCGTTAGT